CGGACAGCCGCGTGGAGAAGCGCTTTGTTAGCACAGGGACGGTGGCAGGCTGGGTGTGAGACGAACCGAAAGAGAACTGGCTCTGCCTGTGCTGATTTGTAGTAAGCACTCAAATAACCTGTGTGAGAACATAAAAGCAGCAGAGCAAACATGCGAAACAGACCTGCACGAGTGGCGGGACGGCAGAACTTGGCCACTTCTCCAGGGTTTAGCAGCAGCTGGGGCAGTTCCAGGGCTGTAGAGGAAAAGCCTTGAGTTGCTGCTTGTTTGGCCGGACTGCTTAGGTATTAGTTCTTCTCCTGTGAGCACAACCCTTTGGTTTCCTTTTCCCTCTGTCTTCTGAGCAAAGTGATTTTTTTTTTTTTAATTATTATTTTTATTCGCTGCAAAACTGTCAAAGTGACAGGTTCAGTATAATGATCTGTTCTTGGCTGACTTCTGGTAGCAGTTCAGAGCTGTCGTTTTATACAGCGTGTTCAGGTAGTTCAGCTACTTTACATGTTCATTATAACCAACTTCATTGAATTTGTATTTAAGTAGTACAGATTATTTAGGCTTCTCTTTCTATGGTCTCAAATGAAATCACTATGTTGTCCTGGACACACTTTTTCTAGAACAAGATCCTGTAGAGACGTTAGTAGGTCCATACCTGTGGCTTCTGTCAGGAAGAACCTTTATGCTGTGTTGTAAAGCGAGTGCTTAAGTTCTTCAGAGTTGGCTGAAGACACGTCTACAGCATGCTGTGAAATGCATACATGTCTGAGTTTCAGAAGAATTTTTGTTTCTGTTCTCAAAGTCAAGGACCCCCTTCACAAATGGGAGATGGGACAAAATTCACATAAGTGCTGCTGATTGCAAAGTGACACGCTTCGTATTTACAAGGAAACCAGTGATTATCGCTGCTACACTTGGCTAGATGGAGAGAGACTTTAGATTTTGAAACCCTTCAGAAATGCCCAGCACTGTTTTGTTGTCTCTTGCATTCAATGTTTTTTTTGTTTGCTTGAAGCAGCAGCTGTAGTGATAGTTTGACAAAGTAGTAGTCAATGAGAGGAGGAACGTAGAAGTGGCCAGAGATTTTCAGTTGTAAGTAGCAGTAAGAATCTAGGCTCAAATCTGACATGCCATACCTAAATGCTGAATCAGGTTTGCAGGGTTTCCCTGTCGGTGTGTTCTTGTGAGCTGTATTGAGCAGCTGACTGCAGAATAACGAGCGTTTTTGAGTTACAAAGGGTACCTATTGAGTCTTCTGGAGAAATGCAGGATCCTGGAGCCGCAGCGTGTAGTCAGCCTAACGTCCACTGCTGACTTGTGTGTGCACCCTCGGAAGACAGTTGGCACGTTCTTACAGGCCTTTCCTCCCCAGATCCAAAGATATCACAGGTGCTTTGATTTTTTTTTTTTTTTCTTTAAAGAAATGCCTCAGTAACTGGAGATAGCTTGAATGTCCCATGTAGTTTTTAACATTGTCAGGGGAGATGACTAGAGAGAGTCTTAAACCTCTGATTTAGCATTGCTAGCTTGTTCTTCCAAAGGTAAGGTTCATTTTCTTTTCATGATCCAAACTGCTCTGACGTTGTCTGCTACTAAATCAGTTTACTTCAACTGTCTTCTGTTCCTGGAGGGCAGAGTGTCGACAGCGCAGGCATTTTGTTGCGCACGGACCCTGCAGAGAAAGGCACCTCCCAAGCTTACTGTCCCAGTGACTGGTGCAGGAGCGTCCTGTTTCCTCTTCTGTGTCTCA